TGTAAATGGTTATTTTGAGGAGCTTGACGAATCAGTCTATAGAGATGGCATTAATAGACTGGAACACCGCTATGAGAAATGTATCAGCCTTGGAGGAGATTATGTTGAGAAATAAAAAAAAAAAATTTTTAAAAACCTTGTTTTTCTTGGTCAGGCCGGAAACTTATCAATCCACCCTCGTATGCGTAGAGCACATCGCCAGACGAAAACCTAGTCCTCCGTTTATATAAGCCAGGTCTCACATGGGCGTGTTGGCATACCAAGTGACGCTATCCTCAAGTATACCGAATGAGTTACACATGTACAAGTAAATACTCCATAATTGCGATCAATGGTTGTATATTACATACTTGTTTACGTTTCTATCAGTCCGTGTGACGACGCTGCCATTATAGTGGAACGTGCGTTATCTTCATAACGTAACACTTTTACGTGGATCATGAAAATAATACACACAACGTATAATTGTACATTGTATGCCCATACAATTTGTTCTTTAAATGACATGATACCATCACGTATGATAAGCAGTTAATAATTTAATCAAGTGAAACTAACAGGAAAGGAAGTAGATTAAATAATTTATTATATAATTGATTTTAGGCCGCCGAAATTCCTTCTGCTCTTTACGAGTGCGAATGGATTGGCTGCAGCAAGTCTTTTAAGACAAATGCATTAATAATTATGGAACGTATGAACAAACCGGTTTATCTCACAATTGCTGGAATTTCACCTATAACACTTGATACTTTTATTCAGGTTTTTATGAGAAACTGTGTTAAAAGTTGTTGTCATTTTGATTACACAAAATTTCTTACAGATTTGCAGACTTGGCTATTCTATCGTTGCTGTATTAAAGAGAGCACAATAGAGAACAAAATAGGATTACAAGAAAATCTTATTGCTTGATACCAAAAAAGCTTTAGAATTTATTGCATTATATTGCACGATTACTAGTATCAGACAGTAACTTATTAGGATGTGGTACCTATCGATAATTTCCTTTGTAAAATTAATGCCAATGATAGTTAAATGATATTATTAAATTTTAAGCATTTCAGCAAATTAACATTCCACTATTATCATGTTTAGATGTTAATATACTACACTCAAAAGGTACCTAATAGTGGTACCTACTATAGGTATTTAACGACGAATGCCAACCGGAAGTACAAGGCGGAATCAAATATAGACGAGACTTTTTCTTAATTTCTTTTATTTGAACTTAAAGGCAAAAGGATAACAGCTTATTTTTCTATATAATCATCTGATTTAGAAGCACATTTCTCCCAGCTTGTCTACAGCGATTTGGTCACATAGGCCTCTGTCTCCTAATCGTTATTGAATCTTCACCCCCTAGGGATTCCCCGAGAAGATCAAATAGGGGAACGTCGCAACAGGTACGCGCTGTAGGGAGGGTGTTCAAGTGTCTCCTAGTCTAATCGCTCCCATTTTTCTCCGGACATGAAAAAGCTTCACTTTTCTCATCAATAGGTCTGTTGTTTGCGATGGTATGGTAATCTAGTCTCACTTAAAATATTACAACCATGCAAAGAACAGGTCCAACAAACCTTGTTGGCAAAAAACACAATAGCCAAAACCTTACTAGCTGCCTGAATGTTGGATTCACTTTGAAAGAGCGCCTACCAATTAAAACTTCTATCCCTCAGGTCATTTTTGGACTGTTATTTGACCCAGAACTTATACCAACTTCAGATGTAATCTTATTGATGGTCAGACGGCTGCCACCCTCAAGAAGTTGTTCAACACGGACGATATTGTCCTTGGCGATGTTCGTGTGGAGTTAGCGATCATGACTCTCGCTTTCAACATTTTCACGACCATTCACGAATTGTTTATGCCATACAATCACTCTTGCGTGAAAGCTTCTCATCCTTGAACTGTCCTCTGGATTTCTGCTGGTTTCACACCTTTCGTGGCAAGAATCTTAAAAATAAACCACTGCGCAATTGACCAGGGAATCTTCTGCTCAAACATCTTCACGATGGGTACTGAGAAGAACGAGCGAAGTCGCTCACTTGCTTCTCTCACTCCCGGCATCCCCACCCAACACCTCACGAAGCAAGAAACCTCATGCTTTATTATTGCGCGCTCATTGCCATATGTCTTGCTTATATTTGATTCACCCTCGTATGTAATAACCATGAAAGTTAGTGGTCAGTCATTACTCGGAACTATCTCAAGTGAATGTTGGATCGCAATTTCGTACTGTTTGGTTCTTATCAGCATGTCGCGTTTAATACATCTCGACAGAATACCAACCAACCTACTTGTCGCCGTTAAACTAATTCAGTAATTGCAAATTCATAGAAACGTCGTGAATTCAGTCTGACAAGTTGATATCTTTAAATCTAAAACGACTTTGTCAAACATTGATGAGCGCAGAAGTGGCAAATCTCTACAGGTGCTACTCACTACGCCGAGTTGCTGCCATTTAAAGTTATTTATTTTTATGAAAACTTTCAACTTACAATTAACTGTTATTAATGTTAATTAATTATTCTCAGAGTATGCTATTAATCTAGTAACTACTGAACGATAATAGAATAAATCGAATATTAGAAGGAAAAGATGGATTACTAAAGGTATAATGCGTATACCCGCAATACGAAGAGCTGGTAGTGAGCTAACATATTAAAAGTGGTCAATGATGACTAAACTAATGACGCAGGAAGATAATATCACATTAGCTTAATGTTCTGTGCAAAACAAATTTTATTTGGCAGCTCCCTAGCTGTTTATTCACAAACCACCACTGCATATTTGTAGAAATTAGGTGGAGACATTACAAATAGTTCTTAATTTTTGTTAAGCTAATTTTGTTATGGCATCTGCTATATTCTTTTTTGAATGTATTGATAGATAAATAAAAGTTATATTTAGAACTTCGTTCTTTTATTTTGCATCAATAGTTGAGAAATTGTAGAAAAGTAGGTTTTAAAAGAAAATATTTTGCTACGAAAATTAAGATCGGAGTGTGCTAGAATGAAATGTTACTGCCATCGATTTACATCTACTAATGGTAAGGTGATTTTTCCATAATTAATGTTTCCGGTATTTCGAAAATAGAAAGAGCACGAATTTTCAAGCTAGAACATTCCTTCATTTTTATGCATAACTGTTGTTTTTGTAGGCGCTATAATAGCTTTTGTATTATACCAGCCTACAGTCATGTTGAATAGGAAGCCTTGAACAGTTACCTTGTCGCGTGCTGGTCAAACTTCTATTCCACATGAGATAAATTGGTATCCACTACTTACTAAGTTCGAAACTTAGAATGGGTGAGTAATGACCTTCGCAAGAATTGAAGATCTCTTACTTCATTTTTCGTCGTGAATTCCCATGTGATTAGCCGTAAACTCCTTACATAATTTGTGAACGCTTTTAATATCCAAACACGATCCCCCACACACTTTGGTCAAATTTTTAAAATATTCCATCATGTTTAACAACTTTAGCAATAAGAAACCGAAAAAATTCCCCAAATTGGCACCCGGCGTCATTGACAAGCACGAACTTGCACACGATTGCGTTGTCAAGACCGAGCCTCCTAGAGCAAAGCCGGGCAAACTCGGCTCTTTTGACTCTCAAGTGCTACTCAGGTATAGCCAAGGAGCTCCTCGTTGCTCCTGCGAGTGCGAGTGAGACGATTCTTTCATTCATTACTGCTTACTCTCTCGTACTCATTGAAGGATATGCTGTGACCCAAAATAACCTCAGGTAGCGGCTCCTGGGAAGTTAAAGTTTGCCCGGCTCTGTCCTAGAGGGCTAAATGCCGCTTTACACAGTGAAACATCTATCAAAGTGGAGTAGGTCTGGCACCATACTATCTACTCTCTCACGTTTAGTAGAAGTCGGAGTTGTTTAATACCCGATGGTTCATTTATTTTTCTGATCAATTCATAGATATGTATTTGTTCTGTTTATTATTTCCTCTTTAACAGATAAACAGTTTTTTTCTTTTCATTTTATTTTAGTATGCACTTTGATTCTTAAATGTCAAAATAATAATTTGGGTATTAAAGTTATCTTTTCTCTGTCAATGAGTAAGACAAAGACAAACCACCTCCTAAAATTATACTTAGCTGTCAGCAGTTATCTGGTTTGTACCCTATCACGAGTGAGATCCAGCTATCTGTAGTCAGGTCGTAGGTAAGAGAAAAAAAAATTCCTCTCGTGTGTTAGTATATAGTCGCTAAGAACTTGCGGGATTAAGGGTAAGTGATAGGTCGTCGAGTACAGATCATTGCAGTCGATAATACGAGAAGAATGTGTTATTTACAGTTTAGATGGAACAACAGAGAAAGAATTTCGGATTTCTTGATTTGATTTCACACACATAAGCGTAGGAGAAAAGTAAGACGTTCGCGAAGCGCGATTCTCGCAGTGAAAACGGTAACTAATTTTAGTATAAAAGTCCCACAGGATCCATGATAAAATTAGTCTCCGGCATTCAACCTACCCTGACAAGGGGACTAAAAATATGAAGTTGTATGTTGGCTCTCTATCATCATTTCGAGATTTAGCACTGGATGTTTACCCCCCGCTGTCCCCGGTTGCCCAGAGTATCAAGCCGCACTCCGACACCGTTTCGTTGGTTTCCTATTAACTTTTTCCAATTTTTCGATAGTGAACAGAACTGTCCCTGTGAAACCGCTCTCGGTTACTCTCATTCATTCAGGTGAACGTGTAGCTATCGTGTCTTCTTTTCTGTTTCTTTCAGTTGAAGTTAACGGCTGTAAATTATAATACAAAACTCTCTACTGAAGAAACCTTAGTTAGAAACGAGGACGATTATGTAAGTTGATGTACTTTTGTTCTTTTAAACTATAATAAAAATTGATACAATGACCTTCAGTGGCACATACCGAACCCAAATGACCTGCTACGAATCCTAAATTCCTCTGAGTTTATATATATATAATGGTGTTTGGATGCCATTCTCCCGGTCTGAGAGATATGTAACGTATTATTTGAAAGTACTTGTTAAGGTTTGATGATTTGAATGTTAGACTGTTTTGGTTCTCCAAAATAACAACGGACATATGTAAATATATCAGTAAAGTTTATTGTCCACATTTGTGTATTTTCTTTGTTAGCACATATTGCTAGTACGGTATTCATAAAATAATCTGAATCAGATAGTAACAATAAATCCTGCCACTACTAACGATTGCTATCGCTACCAATTTTCATCCATTAAATTAAAGGCTTACTTGTTGTTTTTTATGCTGAATAGTTAAAAAACTACCACAACGGATGTACTGCTGTACCACTTAAAAACTCGAAGGACCACTAAGTTTATAGTAAACAAAGACAATCATACGAAACTATTTATTTACACAAACTTAGGAATTACTATAATTAATGTTTAGGAGGAATTGCCTCAGTTAGTCGTAGAATAGACTTATTTGAATACTGATTGTTTTAGAGAACCAATGTCTCAGCTAGTAAGAAATGAACTCTTTTTCTGTACTAAAAAAAAAACTTTTGGGTGTTTCATTCCCACCAGCCAGTAATGCTGGTGGGCGGGCAGTCCCTCCGGGCTATGCCGGATGGTAGAGCGGAAGGCCCTCTTCAGCCTGCTTTCAGTAATCGTGGGAATGGGTGGGTGGTGGTTCGGGTGAGAAAGATGAGACGGACGAAATGAAGACAGAAGAGAATGAAAGATTATCTGTGGAATATTTACTGCCTCAGCATTTGCCTAAGTGATCCAAGGAAACCACAGAAAAACTTGGACCAAGGCAGACGGACCCGGAATCGAACCGGCGTCCTCCCGAATGCTAAGCAATGGTCTAGACCTCTAGACCATGCCGCTCGGTTCTTTTTCTGTACAAAATTCAAGTTCTTATATTATCCGAAATGGAAGAAATCAGGATGAGGACTGCTCAAACCTTTTTTACTCAAAAACGAGGTGTGCTAACTATGAGTTAGTTGCCTACATTAACAAATTATATATTGACGTATATAGACCATTTACTGATAT